TGGGCTTTTACAAACCCGGACTGACCCCCCTTCTTTGGGCTTTTAGCCTACTGAGCCCAAATTGATTCCCAAAAACCAACAAAACCAATTAGGAAACTGGGTCAATCAGAGTTATAGGAAACTTCTAAAGCCAGGAATCCAAAGAAAACCCAAAATAGAAAGAAATTTGAGCAAAACAAACAACAAAAATTAAATAAGCCAAAAACGTGCTGACTAAAAATAATTTAGAATGAGCATGCACACAGGGCGATTGAAAAATAGAAAAATAAGAAAGAAAGAAAAGAGCAGAAGAAGATGAAAATGAGAATAAAATGAAAAATGAAAGCAAGAAAAATGGCTGGAAAAGTACCTAGAAATAACGGATGGACAGTGGACTTTGGACAGGATCTTCAACACTCTTGATTTTGAGCCGAAATTGGCCTTAATCGTGTGTTCTCGTTGAGAACAGACGAATAAAACCAATTTCGACCCTAATCCTTCAAGGAAAATTCGGAGCTTTTGGGAAGATTTTCTTTTTTTGTCTGCTTTTCTCTTAGATCCGGAATTGGTTCCATTTGGTGAGGATTTGAGGGGATATGGTGATGGATTGGGAGTCAGGGGTGAATGGGGGTTGTATGGTCGAAGCTTGGGGTTGATTGGAGTCCTGTTGCCGGTGAAAAATGGTGGAATTTGAAGGCGGCGTTTAGGGTTCAAACGAAAGAGATGAGAGACTGAAGAGACGAGTTCTAGGTTAGACTGATCTGTTCGAATAGTTTTAATCAAAAGAGGGGTAGTTCCCTGGCCGTTGGATCAAGTCAAATGGAAGGCCAGGATTGATTTTACAACCTTGAACTCCAAACGGTGTCGTTTGGTTAATTAAATAGGGCAGACCGGGTTAGGGGCGTGGGTTTGGGCCGGACTGAACGGGTCTTGGGGAAAAATCACTTGGGCTGTGGCAAAAGGCCCAAATATCAAACAACCTTGTTTATTTTCATTCCTTTCTTTTTCAATTTCAATTTTTCTTTTCTTTTCAAATTAAATTAAAACCTAATTAACTCTTAAAACTAAATTAATTTACCAAACTAAGCTAATTAATAGCCATAGTATTTACAAAAATTAAATAACTCCTAAATTAAAAGAAAAACTATAAAATTCAAAATTAAAAAGTTAAAATGCAAAGTGAGTTATTTTTTTGATTTTTTATTTTTATAAAAAACTAATTTACTAATTAACCTAAAAAAATGTAAAAAAAAAAATCCTAAATGCAAATGCAATATATTTTTGTATTTTCATGAATTAAATAAAATTAAACATACGTAGAAAAATGCAAATAATTAAGAAAATTCTACAATAATTCCTAAAATGATAGACAATTAAAAGAAAAAATCTATTTCTTTGGAATTCTGTAGGAGTAATTCATGTGGGGCAAAAATCACGTGCTCACAGCTGCCCCTCTTTGCTCGGAGACACGAAGGGTTTTTGGGCAAAGATAAAATGAGCAATTATGAGGGATTTTTGCCCGTTTGAAACTCCATGAGAAGCATTTCTGGAAAGAGCCTGACCGAACCTTGCTTAAGAGGTTGCCTACATATCTTTGGCTATAAAGGAATCAGGTCAGTGTAGTTTTGGAAGTTTCGGTAGCTGGGACTACCAAGAAGCTGTGATTTCACTGTTGCTGCTGCTACTGCTTGCTGAACTCCTTATTACACCAAAATGGAAAATAAAAAGCTAAACTAGCTAAGCCTATCAACTATGAGTTACAAGATTCCTATCTATAAACCTTCTGAAACTTGATCTTGAGTCTTGGCTGGTTTTTCCTACAGACTCTGATCTGAATCTTGATGCTCATTAGCTGCGACCGTTGGTTCATTCTTCAACTTTTGGATCTAGGCGGGACATGCGAAGCTTGTGACTTCAATCATATCTTGAGCAGTCCGCATCTTTCTCCGCTTCTGCACTTTGAGTTAACTTCTTTTTGTTCTTTTTCTTCTTTTCTTTATTCTGGATTGAGACTCATTCTTTTGGTCATCTCAAACCTTGTCCCTCATGGTGAAAACCTATTCAGGCATCAAAACAAACAAACGAACGAAATTTTTCTGCCCCAATTTTCACTAGGAAAATTTCGTGAGTTATTTGTAAATAAAATCTAAACTATTCCTTTATTGAAAGCAATAAAATCAGGATTGTGTATCCTTGGAAAAAAGGGATTGGGGAGTGGATCCTTATATCTATACTAAAAGTTAATTAGGGAGTGGAGACCCTATGTTGGAAAGGCGACTAGGGAGTGGAGACCCTATGTCTAAAATAATCTCAACTAGGGAGTGGAGACACTATGTTGGCAAAAGGCGACTAGGGAGTGGAGACCCTATGTCTAAAATAATCTCAACTAGGGAGTGGAGACCCTATGTTGGCAAAAGGCGACTAGGGAGTGGAGACCTTATGTCTAAAGTAATCTCAACTAGGGAGTGGAGACCCTATGTTGGCAAAAGGTGACTAGGGAGTGGATACCCTATGTCTAAAAACAATCTCAAATAGGGAGTGGAGACCCTATGTTGGCAAAAGGCGACTAGGGAGTGGATACCCTTCTAAAATAAACCTCAACTAGGGAGTGGAGACCCTATGTTGGCAAAAAGCGACTAGGGAGTGGAGACCTTGCAAGGTTGCTTTGGATTGCACTAGGGAGTGTAGCCTCTCTCTGGGGTTCAGTCACACCAAAAAAAAATCCAATTTCCCCTCAAAAGTGAAACTGGGGCAGATGTTATAATGATTCGGCGATGATCCCGCTTGAACGGTTCCAAAGTTATAATTCAATCCAAATTCTTTTGACCCAAACCTTGTTCAAGTCCTTCCGATCAAGCGGTGAAAGGTGTTCAAAATTGGAAGAACGCAGTTGTTTGAACCCGATGCAATCAAGATAAGAGAAATAAAATGAGAGAGTCTAATTGGTGAAAACCTACGGGCACCGTAAGGCGATGGTGAGCAGAGAAATTGAAATGAGAGAGTCTTGTAAGTGAAAACTCGTAAAGAGAACTATAAGGCGACGGTGAGAAGAGAAATGAGAGAGGTCGATTGGCGAAAACCCGCAAAGGGCGTCGTTGATTGAAAAGTAGAAATCCCTCACCACCATTGGCATTGAAAGAGTCCTGGCAAAGTTTCTCGGTTTTAAATAACGGGTCGTAATGGGTTTATGAGAAGTTGGATAGTTGTGCAGATTGGGTATCCAGTCCAAGAAGCATGTCATGTCTATTGAAGTCTGCATGCACTCCAGATAAGTCCTTCTGTCCTCCCCGAAAGGGACACTTCTCTTTAAATTCACTTTCTTGTCCTTTGTTTGCTTTTCTTTGAATCCCTTTCGGTCTAACTCTGTCCTGAAACTAATACAAAGAAAAGGTGGCAAGATTGGTTTTACAGGGTTATGCTTAATAAAAGCCAAATCCAAAGAAAAGCACCCAGCCTCAGCGGGCGCATCAAGTCGATCCCGCCTGGCCATGATGGCCGATGCTCTGAAGTCAAAATTATTGAAAATAAAAGAAATCCAAAGTCAAGTGCCCACAGAGGCAGAATAAGATGAAAGGGCCAAATCCCCATACGGGTGAACCGTCATGAGAAATTTTGGAAAGTTGAGTTCCTCGGTTTTAGAAGAGAGATCAATCTTCAGAAAGCCAGGAAGCAACAGAGATTCTCACCAAAAGAGTTGGGCCGAGATCAAATGATCAAAACAATCAAGGCCACAAAACCAACCACCGTTTCAAACTAACAATTGTTCTTTGTTTGACAACATGAAACAGGTGCAATCCAAAGCAACCTTGCAAGAAGCAGTGGAGACCCTATGTCTAAAATAATCTCAACTAGGGAGTGGAGACCTTATGTTGGCAAAAGGCAACAATGATCCGAAGAGAAGGGATTTCAACTTCTGCGGGTATTACGGCTTCAGTGCCGTAAACCAATAAGTATGGGGTTGCTTCGACTGATGTGCGTACAGTAGTGCGATATCCCAATAATGGAAATAGTAACTTTTCATGCCATTGCCTGGAACTTTGGATCATCTTTCTCAGAATCTTCTTGATGTTCTTATTTGCTGCTTCGACATCACCATTGGCTTTGGGCCAATAAGGAGTAGAGTTTCGATGCGTGATCTTAAACTGCTCACATATCTCCCTCATCAAGTGACTATTTAAGTTTGCAGCACTATCCGTAATGATAGTTGCAGGAATACCAAAACGACAGATGATATTGGAGTGCACGAAGTCTACCACTGCTTTCTTAATGAGAGATTTGAAAGTAATTGCTTCAACCCACTTTTTGAAGTAGTCGATAGCGACCAATATGAATCTATGCCCATTTGAAGCTTTTGGCTCGATCGGCCCAATGACGTCCATACCCCAGGCAACCAACGGCCACGGTGCTGACATGGGATGTAGTTCTGTAGGTGGTGCTTGGATCAGATCGCCGTGCACCTGACACTGATGACATTTCCGGAAAAAGCTGAAGCAATCTTTTTCTATAGTCATCCAGTAATAGCCCGCTCGAAGGATTTTCTTTGCCAAGACGTACCCATTCATGTGGGGTCCACACACTCCCGCGTGCACTTCATACATGATTCTTCTGGCCTCTTCGGCATCCACACATCGTAGCAAATTGAGATCTGGAGTCCTTTTGTATAAGACCTCGCCGCTCAAGAAGAAACTGCCGGCGAGTCTCCTAATGGCTCTCTTTTGGTCTCCATTGGCTTGCTCGGGATATTCCTTCGTTTTTAGAAATCTCTTGATATCATGATACCATGGCTGAACAATTGGTTCCATCTCAACCGTATTGCAGTAACCATGCCTTTCTCAGATTTGGATTTCCAGCGGGTCAATGTGGAGATTGCCCGGATAAGGCAACATCGAGGCCAAAGTAGCGAGTGCATCGGCTAACTCATTGTGAAAACGAGGAATGTACCTGATCTCAACTAACTTGAACCGCTTGCTAAGATCTTCCACATGTTGTCTGTAGGGAATAAGCTTGACATCCCGGGTTTCTCATTCACCCTGAGCTTGTCGGATAATCAAGTCCGAATCCCCCATGATCAATAGTTCTTCAACATCTTGGTCGATTGCCATATTCATACCTATAATGAAGGCCTCATACTCAGCAGTATTGTTTGTGTAGAAAAACCGAAGCCGAATAGACTTTATCTTTGTTGGGTCTAGCTCGATGCCCTTCCGACTGAATATAAATCCCAAGAGTTTGCCATACGGAACCCCAAATGCACATTTAGCCGGATTTAGCTTCAAATCATACTTACGCAACCGCTCAAAAAACTTTCTCAGGTCCCGAACGTGGTCGTCCTGTGTCCTGGATTTGATGATCACATCGTCCACATACACCTCGATTTCTTGGTGCATCATATCATGAAATATGGAAGTCATGGCCCTCATATAAGTTGCCCCGGCATTCTTCAAACCAAAAGGCATGACCCTGTAACAGTAGGTGCCCCAGGGTGTGGTGAAGACTGTCTTTTCCGCATCCTCTTCATCCATCAACACCTGGTGATATCCTACATAGCAATCCACGAAAGACTGTATCTCATGTTTGGCACAGTTATCAAAAAGGATGTGGATATTTGGTAGAGGGAAATTGTCCTTGGGACTTGCTTTGTTCAGATCTCGGTAATCAACGCACACCCGGGTTTTCCCGTCTTTCTTTGGCACAGGAACTACATTAGCCAGCCATGTGGTGTATCGGACCACTTGGATCACTCCTGCCTTCAACTATTTTGTGACCTCTCCCTTAATCTTGTCACTGATATCAGTTTTGAACTTCCTCTATTTTTGCTGAACAGGGGGATAATCGGGGTAGGTCGGCAACTTGTGGACCACCAAATCGACACTTAATCCTGGCATGTCATCGTAGGACCAAGCAAACACATCTTTGAATTCAAACAAAAATTGGATCAATGCGTCCCTGGTTCCTTCATCTGTGTGCATACTTATTTTGGTTTCTTGGACTTCTTCAGAACTACCCAAATTAACCGGCTCGGTTTTATTTAAGTTCGGCTTAGGTTTATTCTCAAATTGTTCCAATTCTCAATTTATTTCCCTAAAAGCCTCTTCTTTATCATATTTCGGTTCTTGATTCATTATTTCACAATTAGACAGCATGTTTGGATCTGGGCATGAAGTCCACAAGAATGTCATGTTATTTAAAGCCGCAATACTAGAACTGAAAGAAGAAATAAGAAAAAGTAACAAAAATCAGAAAGAATAAAGAGAGATGAACGATGAAATATTGATTTCATTTCATTGAATTTGGAAGATAATAGGGTTTACATTGGAATTTAAAGACAGGAAACTAAAAGAAACATCCGAGTTACACCCTGAAATAACTCGTGATGTAGAAAAAGTGGCAGGACTGGACTACCGGGATTCCTGCCTGACTGGGAATGGAGTAGCCTTCTAGTTTTGCAACTTGGCATTGGGTCCCATATATAGCACCTCAGCGGTGTTCGAGCCTTCTCCTGGCTGAACCATGTGGGTTTTGTACAACATCTGTCTCATAGCCCCACAGATTTCTTCAATTTCCTCGGCCGTGAATGCCTCATCTTCTTCTTCTTCGTACTTGGGCTTGAAGAATGTTTCAAACAGATGCGGGATCGGCTGAGGCAAGACCCAGCCATTGTTCTTCCGCTCATTTGCCCATGTTTCATCAGCTGACGTGGCCTGAAAGCCTACACCAAAGAACTTCTCGCTAGCAGCCAAAGTGATAGGTTCTGTTATTCCTTGTAATGATGTCCTGAGCCCCTTCCCGGGCTTATATCCATGTCTGATCATTTCCTTGGCAACCATGATTGATGCATTTGAGAGAAAGGGTTGAGGACACGGGCTTCCTTCTTCACATTGGTTTGCGACCACGACCTCGAAGGCTTGATAGACTATATGTTCGCTACCTTCCCTTCCTTCAAGACATGGGACTGACAGGTCCCGATAAATTGATTGCTCGTCCTCTCCGTGAACCACATTTTCCTGATCTTCGGGTTCAAATTTCATCATCTGGTGGAGAGTGGAAGGTACGACCCCCGCCGCATAAATCCAGGGCCTTCCCAGGAGGAAATTATACGAAGTGTCCATGTCTAGGACCTGAAAGGTCTCCTCGAAATTCACAAGACTGATAGTCAAGATCAAATCGATCTCACCTATGGTGTCTCTCTTGATGCCATCAAAGTCAGGCACACAGACATTGTTTGGCCTGATTCTCTCAGTCCCAATCTCCATTGTTTGCAAAGTTGAGAGAGGACAGATATCAACTCCGGATCCGCCATCCAGCATGACTCTTTTCACATAGTACCCCTCGCATTTAACTGTCAAGTGAAGGGCATTGTTGTGGGTGGCCCCTTCCGGGGGCAAATCGTTCTTGCTGAAAGAAATCTGATTGACCGCGAAGAATCTTTCCGCCATCCTCTCCAGTTGTTCAATAATGGTTTTAATCGGGACATAAGCCTCGTTGAGGGTTTTTATCAATACTTTCTGATGCTCGGCTGAGCTTACCAATAAGGACAGGAGTGAAACCTGTGAAGGAGACTCTCGAAGTTGGTCTATTACCTCGTAGTCCGCAGCTTTCATTTTGCGGAAGAATTCTTCAGCTTCTTCGGCACTAACTAGCTTTTGGATCGAGAAGCGTTTCTTCTTGGCTTTGTTCAATTCCTCCAAGTTAAGGTATTTCTCAGCTGGTTTAGTTTCATTCGCTTCTCCTAAGACCTCTTTTCCTTTGTAAGTTACTACCGTCTTGCTGTAATTCCATGGAACGACAGTAGGGTCTGTCATGGGCCTCTGCAGTGCGCAGCCAATAACCACAGGCTCATTCAGCCTTGGTGAAATTACTGGCCCCCGCACCACATAGGTTCCCTTAGGCACGTACATCTTGGGTCCCTTGTTCAGCTCGAACCTTCTTGGAGGGCTCAATGTCTTTTGCTCTTTCCTGTGCCCCCGTGGGAGATAAAGAATGGCATCTTTTGGGGGTACTGCCCCAGTTTTGGTTTCCACTGTCTTTTCTGTATTTTGAGGGGTGGGTTTACTCTTCTTCTCCCCCTTGTCTTGCTTTGCAACAGTCTTTGGATTTTTCTCGACATCAGCGATTGCAATGATGGCTTTCAAAGCCGGATCAAACTCCTTGTCTTCGCAAATCATTCCAATGACCGGCCCGTTGTTGTGAGCCGGCAACGGGTTGTTGGTCACATTAGGAACTTTCTCATCCTTCAGCACTATTCGTTTTTGTTCTATGAGGTTTTCAACAGCCCTTTTCAGAGTCCAACAATCTTCAGTATCATGTCCTTCAGCCCCAGAATGATAGGCACATCGAGTACCGGGTCGGTAAGAAGGCGACTCTAGGTTCTGCCTGGTTTGGGGTACGGGTTGCAACAAACCCATTTGGACAAGTTTAGGGAAAAGGCTAGAATATGACTCACTAATAGGCGTGAAGTTTGCTATCCTAGGTGGCTCTCGGGCACGGGCATTGTAGGGGAAGTTATTTTGTGGAGGTTGGGGATTATACTTGGCTTGGCGATGAGGTTGATTTCTAGGAAATGGAGCTCGGTTTTGGTTGAACTGTTGTTATGGTCTAGCGTATGGCTGGGCGTTCATTACGGCGTACGGCTGAGGGGCCATAGCATAGGCCACATCCTGATGAGGATAATAATGTTGTGTGGTTCTTGTAGGGAAGTAAGGTCTGGGTGGACGAGGGTTTCTCGGTCCTGAAGTCGCTAATACCACTTCTTCCTTTTTCTTTCGGTTCGCTACACCTACGGACCCGCCTTGAATTGCTTGGGATGTAGCTCTTATGGCAGAATGGCTCAATATGCGCCCTGTTTTTAGACCATTCTCGACCATCTCACCAATCTTGATGGCCTCAGCAAACAGTTTCCCATTGCGGACATCATATTCTGAAAGTAGTCAGCCTTTTGGGCTTGAAGAAAAACACTAACCATTTTCGTTTCATCCATCGGAGGCTTGACCCTGGCCGCTTGTTCGAGCCATTTAACAGCATATTCTTGGAAACTTTCCGAGGACTTCTTCTTGAGGTTTGATAGAGAATTCCTGTCGGGAGCTATGTCTATGTTATACTGAAACTGCCTGACAAAGTCCCGAGCCAGATCATCCCAAATATGCCAACGAGATATATCCTGATCCATGTACCACTCAGATGCAATGCCGGCCAGGCTCTCTCTAAAATAAGCCATGAGAAGCTCCTCTTTTCCACCGGCCCCTCGCAATTGATTGCAGTGCCTTTTGAGGTGGGCTATGGGATCCCCATGCCCGTCACACTTTTCGAACTTTGGGGTCTTGAAACCCAGGGGTAAATGCACATGTGGGAACATACATAGATCAGCGTAGGATACGCTCTTTTATCCGCTCAAACCCTGTATGTTTTTAAGGCTCTGCTCCATGCTCCTCATTTTTCGGGTAATTACCTCCTGCTCGGGGTTCTTTATAGTTTTCTCCTGTCCCGCGGTAAACTCATACCGGGGTTGCTGAGGGTAAGAATTGGTAGTGAACTGGGTAGGTTCTAGTGGAAACGATGGTCCTTGGAAGGTGAAAGATGATGGATCAAAGCTTGGCCTGGGCAAAGTGGGTTGTGCCGTGGCCGAAGAAGGTGGCGCAGTAAATATATTGGAGGCCACGCCTGAAATCAACATCTGGGGGCAAACCTCAGAAGGTGTTCCAGCAAAGTGAGCTGAGATGGTAGGATATCCAAGCGGAGTGTTTGTGTCACGCCCCAAACCTGGGCCTGGACGTGACACGACACTCGGTGCCTGACTGCATGTGACCAAGCGAACCAACTGTATGGCTGAATATACATGTGGTATAGTTATGGGCTAGAGGTAAATATAAAACATGATAATCTGCTAAAGAGTCTAACCGAAATATCATAGATACAGAAATTACTAAAAGGTCTGCAAGTATAAACAAGTAGCCGACAAGGTTAACACATGAAAGCCTGCTAATATCTGACTGACTGGGTTATAGTCTACGAAGCCTCTAAAGAATACTAAAAATGCTAACTGTTTACCGGGACAAGGTCCCCGGTATACCTTATTAACTGAAATACTATAATGACTATAACAAAGAAATAAGGCCCCGAAAGATTGGGGCTCACTAATAGCTGATCCGAGATCTCCTAGCAAGCAGAATCGTCAACCTAAAAATCGTTACCTGCATCGCGAGATGCAGGCCCCGGGCAAAAAGGGACGTCAGTACATTTGAATTGCACTGGTATGTAAAGCAACTGAAAGAAAGAATTAAAAATGCTGAAACTGAAACTGAACTACTAGCTGATAAACTGATAATTGAACAAGGAAGCAAGGATATGAATACTCCCTCTTCTGAATGATGAACAACCTGTTTAACTGATAAACTACGGCCTCGGGCCCAATATATATATATATATATATGTATATATCTGTGTGTGTGTGTGTGTGTGCGCACAAGCTACGGCCTCAGACCCAAGGATACGTATACATAACTACGGCCTCAGGCCCAAAAATGCATAAAGCATAAACTACGGCCTCAGGCCCAAATACAGGTGTTCAACATCAGGAATTTAGAATCAGGAACTGAGAATCATACTGCAATACATGATACTGAAACAAGAACCATACTGAGTTACATGATACTAGAATAGTGAATAGGCTTAGACTGAGATGAGTATTCATAATAAGTTGATTTGTCATAACTGAAACTCATAGAATATTGAATGATTATGAAGCTATGCCATCTAGAGAATAGAAGTTCTACTACTATTCATGGAACCAAGGCATAATTACTTTCTGAGGAAACTAGTAATGGTCATGATAAATGGGACGTAGGGAGAATCATAGACATTCCCAAACGTAAAAAGTTAGCCTTACATACCTCAATTTCACCCCTTAGTGATACTACAATGATCCACAATACTAAGAACCTTCAATATACAATAGCAACATCCAATGGAACCCAATATTAGTAACAATTCCATAACTTAAGCCATTTAGGCATATTATCAAACACCTTGTAGGCATAAATCTCTACATTTCATCGTCATATAATTAATTCATCTAACTACCACCATTCATCAACAATTTATCCCACCATCATGATTGACCAATTTATAACTTCCAACATCATATGTATGATAATCCATCTACACTCAACCAATAAAATTCCATCAAATAATCACCTTTCAATCTCTACAATAATTATGTATCTATATTGGGAACTTATGGATTCTAATCACCGCACCAAGAGTCCCAATACTTAATTCACACTCATATACCCATAATAAATTCATACATGTAAGTCTAAGGGTGTAGGATTACCTTTTGGAAGAAATCTTGCAAAACCCTCTTTTGAGTTCTTGAAGGAATTTCTTGAAGTTCTATGTGTTTTATGAGTAGATTTCATCAATACTAGTGTAAGAATGATGGAATTTCACACCAAGTTGATGGATATTGCTTACCTTGAAGATGATAGGAGTTGGTGCTCTTGAGAGGGTGAAGGAAGACCCCAAAGTTCGGCCAAGATAAATGGGTAAAAATGAACCCCGAATTGAGTATATAGTGTTTCGGGTGCCACAGGTGGCGCTGGGCGCTGCCTGTGGTGCAGTTTCCAGTATCTCAAAAATTCTCGGCGCCACGGCTAGCGCCCGGCGCTACCCAGGACACTAGCGATGGAAGGGACACGAAAACGGTCAGAATTTTCTGTATACACCTCCAAATGACGAACGGTTTGATGCGTTGGAAACTAGACTCAAAGAGATTTAATTTGATAGGTTGTGCATCACATGACTCCTTATATACATGTAGATATGCTATCCAAAGTGAGGTCTTGTGCATACTCATTTGGAATTTTTAGTCTATCATGTAATTTTCAACTTGCCTTAGACTTAGGCCTCTCCTTGGACCCCAAATCACTTATGATATGCCTCGTACACTTATTATCATAACCAATTAATAACCATCACATGAATACTCATTTAATGCATCCACAACTAATTCAAATTTATGGGGTGTTACACATAGTCCTTGCTACATAAGAGAGGAGCAAAAGATTAGAACACTAGTTTGAGAAAATACAACAAAATGCCTCGAGAAAATTGCAATTACGAGTGTGGTTCCAAGTTTCGGGGAAATCATCCGTATTAGCCACCACGTCTTCGGTTCTGACGAAGAAGAAGTTGTGCCAGAACTGACGATTACCCTTGTCGTCCATCTTTACTACCAGGAACTTATTCCCACGATGGCGAAGATAAAACACCGTCTCCCTAAAGAAACTACGGGCGAAGAGATGCATAAGATGCCGAACTGTAATCTCGACCCCGGCCAATTCTGCGAACTTTAAAAGCATCCCGATGAGCTTGTAGATGTATGGTGAAAGCTGAGCCAGGCAAACGCCATAAAAGCGAAAAAACTCCTCGGCCAGTGGGAGAAGAGGGAGAGTGTAACCAACATGGAAAGTGTAGGCGTAGAACGCGCATTACCCAGGGCGGTGGACCTGCACTGTATCCCGCCCTGCAGGGACCAACTCGATGCGAGTAGGAATATCAAATTTTGCCCTAAACTCTAGTAAGTCAACCTCCTTCATCCCCGACTCGGAAACCTCGGGCTCAGCCTCAGGCGTCTTTGAGAAGTCACACCTGATTTCCCGTTACGAGGAACTATCTCCTCCACCGTAGGGAAGTCCTCATCCTCAATGGCAACAGAGACACCCCCTGCATGAGGAGGAAAAATTGTCGCCAAGGGGATTGGGTAGTTTTCCTCATTAGGACTAGAAGACACATTAGACATAGTTCTACGAAAGAGAGGATATTCGAAGTGTAAGAAAGATTAAAAAGCAACTTGAGTGAAGAAGAAAAAAGCAACTGAAATCTGCGAAATAGGTAAAGGAGACAAATAATGGGGGAAGAAGGAGATGCAGGGATTCAATACAAATGATGCGTAAAGTATGAATGAATACACCCACACCCCTATTTATAAGAATTCTAACGTCACAACCGAGAAATCAAGCCATCATTACCCGGCACCGGTACCAAAGCGGCAGATGCACGGGAAACGATGCAAAACATCGGGAAAATGCGCCAGAATGACGCGTGATGTCATGACATCATTCTGAAGTAGGAACGATGTGACCCCGAAGGTTGCGGCTCACAAAATGTCATGTTTTCATCTCGTCTGAAACGCCACTACTCGACTTGCTCGTCCAATTTTTCCAACTACAATAAACAGAATCCGCTCCTCAAGGTCGTCTGAGGCCGACCTTGATAAGCGGAGGAACTAACTATATAGGTCGAAATTTGTCTCAGTACTTGGGCAAAGTAACATCGAGAAAAGAGTCAGCCGAGGTCGACCAGGAAATAGTAATGCTTGTGGTCGAGATGCTAGCGATGGTCGAGGTCG